TTAAATAGAGAACCAGTTTCAGCATTGCATTATAAGGTTAGAGAGGAACAGCCTAAATTTTTCAAACAACCAACTTTAATTTATCCAGTCATCTTACAGGAACAACTGCCAAATGACAGATATCCCCAAGGCTATGCAAGAGTTAAATAGAGATTCAAGGAAGTGATAGCCTCATATGACATGTATTCACCTTTTATGAAACAAATGTTAAAATCATGGTCAACTTACAATAGAACTAGAGACTACAGAGGTCTTAGAGCACACTCCTCAGTTACAAAGGGATTATAAACAAGGTATTCTTAGAAATAATGTTTTTCTAAGCATAATTCAAACAGAATGCCATCCCTTGTGGATAATGCAGAAGGTACAGCAAAGGCAGGAATTTAAACAAATGAATGTAGGTCAACAATGGACTTTCAAGGTAACCCTTTGCTGTTGGAAAACGCCTTGAGGGGCCTCTCACAGGCCCCAGGGCCAAATTAGGTTCAGTCATTTCCTGTAACCATGGAGAAAACTCCTTCCAAGAGCAATTTAAGAACCTAATGCTTATTACAAGAAACCACACTGCTGTGGATGATAGAAAAGCTATAGAGGAGAGAACAAAAAATTCAGGAGAAACCATGAAGCAAATATATTGGCAAACATCTAGCTGGGCGTTGGTGGCACACACCTTAAATTCCAGCACTAGGGAGGCAGAGGCAGGTGGATCTCTGTGAGTTTGAGGCCAGCCTGGTCTACAGAGCAAGTCCCAGGACAACCTCCAAAGCAATACAGAGAAACCCTGTCTTGAAAAACAAAAAATCAAAACAACCACCAAAAAAAAAAAAAAAAACAAAACCAGCCACCAGCCATTCGGATTGCACAAGAACAGGGCACAACAGCTGCTGATCTTTCAAAGTCACCAACATCCCTACCTTTAAAATGGCTGACAGATAAATCTTTATGGGTTGAGCAGTGGCCTTTATCAACAGAGAAGCTGCTGGCCCTAGAACACAGCTGGTATAGGAGCAGTTAAATGCTCAGCATATTGAAGAATCAACTAGCCCTTGAAATTCTGTATTTATTATTAAAAAGAAATCTGGAAAACGGAGAATGGTAATGGATCTATGAGCTATTAATAAGGTGATTCAGCCAATGGACTCTCTAGAGTCCGGAATTCCTTTGCCTTCTCTATTACCTACAGGATGGCCTCTTTTAGTTACCGATTTAAAAGACTTGTTTTTTTTTTTACTATACCTTTACAAGAAAAGGAGAAAAATTTGCCTTCATGGTGCCTACTTATAAAGATTCTCAGCCTTCTAAGAGATATCAATGGAAGGTTCTCCCACAGGGAATGCTAAATAGCCTCACCCTGTGCCAATATTTTGTATGGCATCCATTGGAAATAATACATAAGCAATTTCCTCAATCTATAGTTTATCATTACATGGATATTTTACTAGCTGACTCACATGCACATACGTAAGAAGTAAAGACAATTTTTGCCCTTTTGGGAATTACAAATTGCTCTTGAAAAAATACAAAAAGGAGATTAATGATTTAGGACATGCAAAAGTCTACAGAAAATTTGACTCCAAAAAGTACAAATTAGGAGAGACTGACTGCTGACTCTCAATGACTTATAAAGATTGCCAGGAGACATTTTCTATGTAAGGTTCACTACTGGAATAGAAAAAAATGAACTGAATAATCTGTTCAAAACTTTAGATGGTGACAAGGACTTAAACAGTCCAAGTGAATTACCAGCTGAAGCTGAGAGAGAATGGACTTGGGTGAAAGAGAAACTACAGGATGCACATGTGGATCGTTTGGATCCAAAGCTTGACTGCATTTTTGGTTATTTTACCCTCTAAGCATTCTCCTATAGGAATATTAATGCAGAGAGAAGATATAATCTTTTCTTTCTTTCTTTTTTTTTTTTTTTTTTTTTTTTTTTGGTTTTTCAAGACAGGGCTTCTCTGTATTATTTTGGAGGCTGTCCTGGAACTAGCTCTGTAGACCAGCCAGGCTGGCCTCAAACTCACAGAGATCTGCCTGCCTCTGCCTCCTGAGTACTGGGATTAAAGGCGTGCGCCACCAATGCCTGGCTTGAAGATAGTATCTTAGAATGTATCTTTTTACCACATAAACAGAGTAAAAAATTAAAAACTTATGTGGAAAAGATCTCTTAGTTGATTGTAAAAGGAAAATTGAGACCTTGTCAATTAGCAGGAATAGACTCCACATAAGTTGTAGCACCTTTTACTAATGATGAAACTGACAAATTATAGGCAGGAAGTAAACCTTGGCAAAGAGCTTGCAGTAAACTTTTGGAGAGGGAGCTGGGAGAAGGAAAGGAGGAGAAGAGGAGGAGAGAGGAAGAAATGGGGGAGCAGGAAGTTTGAGTCGGGGAAAGAATAGAGGAGAGCAGGAAGAACTCTAAGAGAGATATGCATGCTACCCCAGAGAAAGAGAATGAGGCAAGATCTCCTGAGCAGATTGGGAGCATGGGGGGGGGTAGAGGGAGCCAGGAAAAAGAGAGGGGGGCAAGAGGAGGGGAGAGGAGGACATGGGAAAGCAATAAGTTTAGTTGGGGGAAGAATAGAGGAGAGCAGGATGAGAGATACCATAATAGAGGGAGCCATTATAGATTTGAAGAGAGATCTGGCACTAGGGAGATTTCCAGTGATCTACAAGGATGACACTAACTGACAATCTAAGCAATAGTGAAGAGGCTACTCCTAATGCCCTTCCCCAATAATGAGATTGGTGACTATCTTACATGCCATCCTAGAGCCTTCATCCAGTGGCTGATGGAAGCTGAGGCAGACACCCACAGCTAAACACTGAACTCCTGGAACCAGAGAGGGAGGAGTGAAGGGCAAGGGGGTCAAGACAGGGCTGGTGAAGCCCACAGAGCCAGCTGACCTGAGCAAGGGGGAGCTCATGGACCCTAGACTGATGGCTGACAGGCCAGCAAGGAACTGATCCAGACCCCCTGAATGTGGGTGTCAGTGAGGAGACATAGGCAATCTATGGGGCCTCTAGTAGTGGATCGATATTTATCCCTGGCGTACAAATAGACTTTGGGAGCCCATTCCACGTGAAGGGATGTGCTCTCCACCTGGACACATGGGGGGAGGGCCTGGGCAGACTTTGGGGATCCCCCATGGAGTGCCTCACCCTCCCTGGGGAGCAGAAGGAAGATGGGATGGGGGTGGTTGGTGGGGGGCTGGGGAGGAGAGGAAGGAGAGGGAGCTGGGATTGACACATGAAGCAGGCTTCTTTCTAATTTAAATTTTAAAAATTAAAAAATAAATATCACCACATACAGAGAAGTTCATATTCATAAGAGAAAAAATGCTTACTATACCATAGTCAAAAATTAAATGAGTAAGAAAAAAACTCCATGCTAATAATCTTGAAATGTTGGATCAAACAGATAGTGCCCTACTTAAAAAAAAAATTCCAAGATGGCTTTAAAGAATCAGAAAATCCAAGTACAGAGTGCTAGCGGGAGAAGTTTCCAAGCTGCCGAAGGAAACTTCCCTGAGTGTCAGGATCCTCTAGAGAAGTTTCCTCTCTACTCACCCTGAGTGTCAGGATCCTCTAGAGAAGTTTCCTCTCTACTAACCCCGAGTGTCAGGATCCTCTAGAGAAGTTTCCTCTCTACTCACCCTGAGTGTCAGGATCCTCTAGAGAAGTTTCCTCTCTACTCACCCTGAGTGTCAGGATCCTCTAGAGAAGTCTCCTCTCTACTCACCCTGAGTGTCAGGATCCTCCAGAGACATCTTTCATTTCCTGGCTATCAAAATTATTTCAGATCAGAACAAGACAGATTTTCCCCTGAAGATCAAACTACAAACAGCATCTTTCATATACCAAACTGACAAAATAAAAAAAGGAAGAAAAATGAGTTTGAATAGAAAATGCTTGTCAGGCATGTGACGACGCACACACCATTCATCCCAGCACTCGGGAGGCAGAGGCAGGTGGATTTCTGTGAGTTCGAGACCAGCCTGGTCTACAGAGCGAGTTCCAGGACAGCCAGGACTGTTGCACAAACGAAAAAGAACAAGAACAAGGAGAAGAAGAAGGATGAGGAGGAAGAAAGAAGCAGCAGCAGAAGCAGGACCTTATTAAAAGGAAACCCTTCAAGGCTTGCTTTGTACACACATGCTGATCCAGTTACCTGTTCCACCAAGACGTTATTACAAAGCAATAACCACAAAATGCAAAAGTTTTATGGCACAAGGACGTTCACTACAAAACTTATCAACTGTGAACAATGGGCAGCAGAGGGGCTGGACTGGGTCTGACACTCAGATGCAAGGATGGAGCCACAGTACAGAAAAGTATATACAGCATGAGGTGTCTGAGGTGAGCACAGATGGTTTTTACATGTGCCGAAAGGAGTGAGACACAGAGAGGAATATCTTTCATGGATAACTACGGACTTTCTCCTCCCAATTCTGCTAATGAGCATATGATATTTTATAACTGGAAAACTCAGCAATCGTTACTAGAATTTCATTTGCACAAATTTTATGAGACATACTAATAATGCCTAGAAAACTACAACAGAGGACTTATGCCTGGGTCCCCTGGTATGGGAGAATCTGCATGAACCAGCAAGAAGCTTGCTGTGGATACCCTGACCCATCTAGGCTGCAGCCTAGGAGCCTGTGTTCCTCACAGGCTGGAAGCCTGAGGCTCTGACAGCCCAGAAGCCTGGGGTCCTTAAAGCCAGGGAGCCTGGGGCCCCCATAGCCAAGGAGACTAGGGTTCTCGGAGACTAGGTGTATGAGACAGAGCATCCTTATTTCCATCTTACCAGTGTTCCTATCCTACAAAGCATCATTAGCCTGTTCCAAACCAAGGAACCACAACATCACTTCTTTATCCATGATCCCTGCTGCTTCCCAGAAACATCTCAACTAGAAACTGGAAAAACATCTTATTTCACACTGAGCTTGTCGCTTGGAAAAGTAATGATAAAATAAGCCAATAGAGACTCGTACCTAGGTAGGGAATACTGGGCACCATCTTCAGACTTCGGATGTAGTCCCGAGTCCGCTTGTAGTTGTCTTCTTTGGACATCAGGTAGTCCAGTTTCTCAAAAGTGGTTTTGTCTTTCCGATTCAGAAGCTGGAATGAAAAGAAATTATAGTACCTGAGAGGGAAAAAGAAATAACCCAGGGAAGCTGACAGGGGCGGGGGCTGTGACAAAGGGCAAAGGAGACACCTGAATGAGTGTCCACAATTTGTCAAACCCTGATGGAAAAGGCAGAGATAGGGCCAGGCAGTGGTGGCACACACCTTTAATCCCAGCACTCGGAAGGCACACGCAGGAGGATCTCTGTGAGTTTGAAGCCAATCTGGTCTACAGAGAGAGTTCCAGGACAGCCAGGGCTACACAGAGAAACCCTGTCTCAAAAACCAAAACCAAACAAACAAAGGGCAGAGATAGGCATCAGTCTCGTTGCTTTCAGAGACTCACAGGGAAGACAAGTCCTGGAGTTACCTTGTCCACTAGCCACATGATGATAGCTAACTCCTTCAATACACACACGACACTGATCTTGTGGGGACAGATACTCTGCACGCTGGTCATGGCCCAGCAGGGTTTTTTCAAAGCTCTAGCCAGTCTCTTCTCCATAATGCCTCATGTGAAAGATGCTACCAACTGCCACATGACTCATGAGGACATAGCTGTGCTGCAACTCAGGGCTCTTCTCCAGATTCCCCCACATCCTGTGTCATACTTCACTTCCTTATGGAACCTTCTTTTCCAGAAGCAGTCGTCTACAGAGTACCCGGTTAAGAGACTCGGGGTGAGCAAGCTTCCAGAGATGAGAAGCAAGCTCTGTGATGACTGAGCACTTGGTGTGTGAACCTGAGAGACAGGATGGCCCAGTGTAGTCTCAAACTAAATGCCGAGGACTAGTGCTGAGAAACAGCCAGGCACCTCTTCAGATGCAATGGCTTTGAGGAAAGGGCTCTAGAAGAGGAGGTCAAGCTTGAAAAGAGGCCGAACAGACCATTTTACAGCAGCACAGCAAGTGGGTGAAGAGACCCTGAGGACACAGGCACGGGAAGGGAACCATCAGTAAGGAAAGTGTCATCAAGAGAAGCTAAACACTGGGGCTGGAGAGATGGGTCAGTGGTTAAGAGCACTGGCTGCTCTTGCAGAGGACACAGGCTTGATTCCCAGCACCCACATGGCAGCTCACAAGCACCTGCAACTCCAGTCCCAAGGGATTCCAATGCCCTCTTCTGGCCCACAGGCATGAAGTGGTGCAGACACACACGCTGATAAAGCACCCACACCCATGAATTACTAACATTTTAACGCTGGAAAAACGGCATATAGAGAGGCAGCATTTGATTTTGTTTTTTGTGTTGTTTGATTTTTTTTGTACAGGGTTTTTCTATGTAGTCCTGCCTGTCCTGGAGTTCACAGTATAGACCAGGCTGGCCTCAAACTCAAAGAGATTCAGCTGCCTCTGCCTCCCAAGTACTGGAATTAAAGGCATGAGCCACCACATCTGAATTTTTTTTTTTTAGCTGATGCAGTAAGAACCCCACTGACTTCTTTAAATCATCTACATTAGCCCACATGTCAAACAAACCCTGATGCCTTCACTCAAACTGAAGCCTGAAGCTAAGCCAGGTAGGCTCAACAGCCCACACCACTAGTTCTCTGGTCCTAACTGGGTCACTGCCTGTTCAGCTTATCCAATACCTATAAGAGCAGCACATTAGACTGCTGGGTGTTCAGACAGCCAGTCTGTCACACATGTCTTCCCTGGATGGATACACACACACATGCACACACACACACACACACACACACACACACACAGTGTGACAGAGACAGACAGAGAGACAGACAGAGAGACAGAGACAGAGAGAGACTGGATCTTATTAACATCCCTCAGTGGCTTCTTTCTGTGCCAACAAAGGAAATCAGGTCATGATCAGATTTCTCAAGAATAATTTATAAGTTGCTTTAAGATGAAGAAATTCAACAGCTTTCACCACGATGCACTGGACAATTACCCCAGAATTTCCTTTACTAAAGTGAAGGAATGGACCAGATAAAAGAAGATACAGGTGTCCTTGTTGAATGAATTTACATCTTTTGGATATATGCCTAAGAGTTGAATTTCTGGGTTTTGTGGTAGACTGACTGCCATTTTCCTGAGGAATCTCCATACTGATTTCCAAAGTGGGTGTACAAGTTGGCACTCCCACCAGCAGTGAAGGAGTGTTCCCCTCTCTCCACATCCTCTTCAGCATAAATTGTCTTCGGTGTTTTTGATTTTAGCCATTCTGACAGGAGTAAGATGGTATCTCAAAGTTGTTTTGATTTGCATTTCCTTGATGGCTAAGGATGTTGAGCACTTTCTTAAGTGTTTCTTGGCCATTTTAGCCTCCTTTATTTGAGAATTGTCTATTTAGTTCTGTACCCCACCTTTTAATTGGATCCTTTGGTGTTTTGGAGACTTGCTTCTTGAGTTCTTTGTAAATTTTGGAGATCAGCCCTCTGTCAGATGTGGGGTTAGTGAATATCTTTTCCAATTCTGTGGACTCCCTTTTTTGTCTTGTTGACTGTGTCCTTTGCCTTACAGAAGCTTCTTAGTTTCAGGAGGTACCATTTATTAATTGTTGATCTCAGTGTCTATGCTACTGGTGTTACGTTCAGGAAGCTGTCTCCTGTACCAATTCGTTGAAAAGTATCTCCCGCTTTCTCTTCTAAGAGTTTCAGTGTGGTTGGATTTATGTTGAGGTCTTTGATCCATTTGGACTTAAGTTTTGTGCAAGGCGATAGACATGGATCTATCTGCAGTCTTCTGCATGCCAATACCCAGTTATGCCAGCACCATTTGTTGAAGATGCTTTCTTTATTCCATTGTATAGTTTTAGCTTCTTTGTCAAAAATCAAGTGTTCATAGGTGTTCATAGCAGCATTATTTGTAATAGCCATAACCTGGAAGCAACCTAGATGCCCATCAACTGAAGAGTGGATAGAGAAAATGTGGTACATTTACACAATGGAGTACTACTCAGCAGAAAAAAAAAAAACAATGGAATCTTGAAATTCGCAGGTAAATGGATGGCACTAGAAGAAACCATCCTGAGTGAGGTAAACCCAGTCACAAAAAGACAAACATGGTATGTACTCACTCATATATGGATTTTAGACATGGATCAGGATAGTGCCAGTCTGCACTTCCACTGACAGAGAGTCTGGGAAACAGGAAAGAACCTAAGAGAGATATGCATGGTACCCCAGAGAAGAGGAATGAGGCAAGATCTTCTGAACAGATTGGGAACACGGAGAGGGGTGGGGGGGAGTGGGAGATGGGAAGAAGAGAGGGAGAGAAGAGGAAGAGAGAGTAGGTCATGGCGGAACAGGAAGGTTGAGTGGGGGGGTAGAATAGGGGGAAGAGGGAATTATAGGTTAGAAGAGAGATCTGGCACCAGTGAGACCTCTAGTGATCTAAAGGGATGACACCAACTGGCAAGCTAAGCAACAGCGGAGAGACCTCCTCGAATGCCCATTCCTGATAATGAACTTGATGTCTATAACCATCTTAGAACCTTTATCCAGTGACTGATGGAAGCATATGCAAACACCCACAGTTAAACACTGAACTGAACCCATGGAACCCAGTGACAGAGAGAGAGGAGTGATGAGCAAAATGGCAAAGAATGGGCTGGCAAAACCAGCAGAGACAGCTGATCTGAACAGGGGAGAGCTCTTGGACCCCAGACCGACAGCTGGGAGGCCAGCATGGGACTGATCCAGAGCCCCTGAGTGTGAGAGTCAGTGAGGAGGCCTGGGCAACCTATGGGGCCCTGGGCAGTAGATCAGGGTTTATCCCTGGACTTTGTGTGTCCATAACACAAAGAGGGATGCTCTCAGCCTGGACTCTTAGGAGAGTGCCTGGACCCTGCCCTGAGTGAAACGACAGACATTAGATATCCCCTATGTGGAAGGAAGTGGCGATAGGGTGGGAGGCGGGGGGGGGACGGGACTGGGATTAACATGTGAAGCAAGCTATTTAAAATTAAAATAATAATAATAAAAAAAGAGGATACAGGGCATAAGAGTCAGAGTGTCCCACTTAATAACCATCAAAGGGATTCTGGGATACCCAGTGAGTTGCAGGTCTTAAAAACAACCAGTTCACGTGGACAGCTCAGAAGACTTCCTGGTAGCACAAGTGTGGCATGAGGAATGGTGTATGGAATGAAGTAAACAACTTTAGATCGCACATGAATCTAGGCAATAGATGGCTAGTTCGGTAAGGGACTTTTACATCTATCTATCTATCTATCTATCTATTTATTTATTTGTGTGCGTGTGTGTATGTGAGGGGCATGCATATGCCACCAAATACATATGGTCTACCATATGGGTTTCTGGGATTGAACTCGGGTCATCAGGCTCAGTTGAAGGTATCTTTACCTGTTGAGTCAACTCACTGTCCTGGACCTTTTTTAAAAAGAGAATTGGAATGACCAGGCAAACTATTCAAGAAAGCACAGAGTACTCCTGGTTTACCTCCTGACTGTTCAGTATTGCCTGCTTACACAATGTTAGTCATTAAGACCCTGAATACTCATTTAACAAAAGTGGTTGAACTATTGTGATGGGTTCTTGGAGGAAGGTGGGAAGAATCTAGAAAACTAAGCTAGTACGTATATACACTATCTAAAGTAGGTGGGCCAAGAAACTCTAGCAAACACCCATGGGTGGAATGGTGGCACAAACTTCAAGAAGAAACCACCAACCTGGAAGGGTTGCCTCTGGGGAGGGAGGGGGTGGAAAGGGCAGTGAGTGGAGAAACAGGGAGTATTACAGGTCTCAATAGTAAGCCTTTCAGTACTTGGTGACTTTTTAAATTAATGTGCATGAATTATGCTGATAAAAATTCTCTTCAGATTTAGGTCTTTAAAAATAGGGTTTGCTTATTCAGAAAACAGCAGCACTTACTTAACACATGTCTTAAACTTTTATTACAGGTAGAACCAGCAACTGCAGCCCTCGCATGAACTTTAGATCTCAGCATTTATAAGAAGCCTCAGGAAAAGGCCATCAGAACGACATGCAAGGATATCCAGCAGTTGCTTACCAA